CATGCATTGTAAGACTTAGTGTATCCAATTCAAGCTTAAGTTAACACTGATACTTGCTTAAATTATCCTCCAAAAGCTTTGCCCAACACTATAAGTCAATTCGCACATGTCCTGGGTTGGACATAAGTGTGTTTGAGCCTTCAATGAAGACAAGTATCTTAAATTTGACTAGGTCATGCTTGACTTAAGTTTGAGTACATGATTGAATTAGCCATTACTTTTAAACATACTTCTGTGATCTAATTCAAACTTGTTTTAGTAGTGACTCATGCATGTTTCACTTTTCAAAGAGCATACTTCCAATACACACTTGAATTAGTCTATACCCATGCATGTATAAGCTCACAATGGAAACAAAGAGCTTCTAATCTCTAATACATGCTTGAACCATATAACCTTCATACTTGAAGTTGCCAAAAGTGAACCAAGCCTTAGTGAGTCAAGCCAACTTATGCATGTCCCCTTGCTAATCCATGAGTGAATCAAGACTTAGCAAGCATTTAATATTGTTCATAGAAAAAGTTCATTTTTGTTATATTCTTTACTTCTACACATTTTTAATGGCTATATATAGGACCTCATTTAAGTGAATGGGTAACTATTCTTTGAGCATTAAGTGTCTTGTACTCAATTCTTACCAACTTGTATTTAATATTTTGTGAAAAAGCTCTCAATTGGTTTATAAGGTTTTGTTGTATTCACATTCACTCTTTTACAGAGTTATTGTTTTGAAAAGCTTTTTCTTACTTGAAATCTTTGGAAGATATTTTCTTAAGTGGTTATTTGAGCTTACAAGTGTTGTCAGCTGTTTTTCTTAGATCAAGATTGGCGTAGTCATGTAATTTATATTAAGGTGGCAAGTATCTAATTAAACTTGTGGTTATAGTAAAAAATTTCAAGTGTGATCCTAGGTTGGGTTGAACCAGGATAAATCTTTTATGTTAAGCCTTTTCATTTCTTAAACTCATGTATTTCATAAAAGCTTTCCGCACTTTTTTATTTTAAGTTTATCTTCATTTTTGAGTTGGGAAAAAGTTTTATGAAAATTTTTAGAACACCTAATTCTCCCTCCTTCTTAGGTGCCAAGCTTATCAAATATAACAAAAGGATTTTTTTCACTCCTTGAAAAAATAGTTCATTGGCAAATTGCCTCGCTTATCAACATAGGGTGTCCAACACTTCTCGAAAAAAAGTTCACGAGTAAAACTAAATCTTAACCTAAAAAAACTAAGCTAATCTCTTAATAGCTATTGTAAATGTCAAATCTCATATGGATATTAATACATGTCTATCCTTATATATATATACATATATATATATATATATATGTATGTATGTATGTATATATGTAAATCAAATACATATATTACAAAATAAAATAGTACAAAAAGAAAGAAAATAAAAAGTTTAACATCTAACCAAATTTGAGATAAGGAATCTAGTTGGGAAAAGAAAGTAGAAGACCAAAAGGAAAAGAAAGAGAGTAATTCATAGAGATCTTCATTGACAATATTAGGCTTCAAAGTTGAAAGTGAAAGATTGAAATGCTTCTTGTGATTGCATATAATTGCTAGCAATCCATATATGACTATCTATATCATTGACATAAACAAAGGATCCCATCTCGTTCTTGGGTTGCACTATAAACAACAATTGCTCACACTTTTTTTTATTGCTCATATCTAATAGGGAAAATGACAATTAAGGACCCCCTAAAGACATTAATTCCAATTAAGGACCATAAAATTTTAAAATCTCAATTAAAGACTGTTGGGATAAAAAAAATATAGTTTGTCTTAAATGTCCTTGCCAAACAAAATGAAAATGCGTGCGCATAGCCTAGCCATTCTTGCTCTGTTTTACGACATCTCCTTTCTTCTTTCTTATTCTCCTTCATTCTTGTTCTATGTCGTTCCTCAGCATTTCCTTGCTAGCTCCAACCCTAATGGAGATTGTTTGGATCCATAAATGTGGTAGGATTTGTAGGTTTTGAAGAGTTCCTCCACTTTTACTATTAAGAAAATAGTTAGATTGAAATCATTAATAGAGTCCTAAAAGTACTCTTGAACCTGTGAACATGAACAAAATAGATATGCATATTTATGTATGTTTGTGCATTCAAGAATTTCACAAGTTTTGAGATTTCCAATTAAGAAACAGAATCACTAGCAATGCCTTTGATATGTGTGCTTGTCCAAGTACTTGTGTATAGTTAGTTACATCATGAACACTATAGAACTATCAAATCATCCAGGTGACGATTGCAAAAATATCACTTTGACCTGACATGAACTAGTATATTTCTACAATCCAATGACTATTTCTTGCATATTAACAAAGCATCAAAGCAAAACCTGGCCTTGACTAGTAATTTCATGAGACAATGATGCAAATTAATATTAATAATTTAAGTGAAAATCATTATAAGTTTTACAAAAACTGTACTGTATTGATAAATTGTAAAAGGAAATTTTAGATTTGATGTAAGGTAAATTCAATGGTTTTATTATATGTATTCATTAGTGATGTTAAATATATTCAATAGTAGTTTTTTATCCATATTCTTTTTGTGTGCAGGACAATGGCTAAGACAAAAGCAAGTTCATTACCGTAAAAAAGTTGTTTTGGCCTCACAAGTGATGACATCTATTTCAAATGTTAGGTATGTAGGACCTAAAAGATTAAAATCATAGATTAGAAAACTATGATATGGACTTGCACAAATTATGTTTTGGTTATATGTATGATGTAAATTATAACTTTATATACTTAAGTGTTTTTTATGGCTCAATGTATATGATACAATAGTTAATCCAAAGTATTTTTGGCTAAATGTACAAGAAATTGGACAAGCCATTGATGAATTTTCTTAACTGACGTTACTGAATTCCTACATCACGTTAGTGAATTCTTAAGTGGCGTTAGTGAATCCTAAGTCATATTAGTGGATCCTAACTTGGACAAGTCACTTTTTGTTAAACAGTCAATTTCTAAGTAAGGTTTCATTATTTTCACAATATATGTTAGCAATTTTCCAAGTCTGCACTAGTACAAAATATCAAATTTATACCCCCATATCTGCACTAGTTATTGCGCCTATGGTGTAGAAATCAGAGACGGTGGCAATTTCGTAAATAAATTTTTTTTCCACTAATATCTACACTGGATATACCTCTAAACTGATATAGATACAAACATCTACATCGGTTCTAATTATACCCGGTGTAGTTACATTAATATCTACACCGGTTCTTTATTAAACCGGTGTAGATATATTTATTTTTTAAAAAATAAATTTCTGAATCCATATCTACACCGGATTGCTCTGTTAACCGGTGTAGATATATTTAATATTTATTTACTAATTTTTTTTCTTTTTTTTTATTAACTTATCTACACCGGTTTCAAAAAGAAACCAGTGTAGATGTCTTTATTTTTTTAAAAAAATAAATTCTGAATTCATATCTACACCAGTTTGCCCTGTTAACCGGTATAGATATTGCATTCTCCGTCTCTTCTAAACAGCACTTTCATTTGGAAATTTCATTTTTCAAAATTTTCGTCACTCGCGCCGAGAGAATTCATCGTCTTCTAACCCTTCTCGTTCAGGTTTTGTTTCCAAATCTCTATTACTCTAATCTTCCTCCCACTTATCTCATTCCTTCACTCTTCATCCATCGGCCTGTGCTGTCATTTTGCATCGTCGGTGGCTGTAGGTTGACTGTAGTTGGTGGAGATCGTTCCCTGTGCCAAATTCTTCGAATCCCCTTTCCCTTCTCTACTAAAATCTCTTCTACTGTTGAAACACTAGGGCCGAGATGTCCTTCGTCGCTGGTGACTAGTTTGGTGTGCGTGGATAAAGCTTCATCCTTCCCTGTTCATGGCTTGATCGTGAAATCCTCCCTCCTTTTTGTGTTGTTGTATTTCTAAGGTCAGCAGCTTTAATTTGATCCTTTCTTTATTGTTGTGGATTGAGATTAATTATTTGTTGGGTGCTTGCGTTATGTCTAAAATCTTGCTTATGTTGTGTTTGAAATTTTTCCCTTCTTTTCTCTGCTAATCCGTGTATATCTTGGGGTAATGTATTGATTATTTGTTCCAATCATCTGGGGGCTTGGCCAAATTGCTATTTTTAATTTGTATTTTCATTAGAACTGAACGAGGTATTTTTACTTGATTTTAAATTTAAAGGAATTGGGTTGTGCGTATATAAATTTTATCAGGGTAGTTTATTTCCTGTGAATTAAATTGCTGTGGTGACATCATTATTAATTTATTTTCTATATGCTGGTAGAGTGCTGATAGAGGCCTAAGGCCATTAGGCATTGCATGTGACTTTATTTTATTTAAATGATATTATTTTTTCCTTATATTTTTAATTGTAAATTTATTAGAAAGTCCAACTTTAGGGGAGACTCTGCCAAATATTTTTTAAAATTATTGTTTTGTCCCTCCTTCTTTATAGAAAGGCCAAAAATATATAGTTGACTTCTTTTTGTCCCTACTTATTAGATAGGAAGGAAGTCAATTCTAAAAAATATTCTCAAAAGATTGAAAATTTCCAAATTAAATTGGAAATTATTGTGTTAGCATGCTTCTTTCTTTTTTTTTAATATATAACTCTTTGTCTGGCCTTATCAAAATGGATTCAGTAATAATCCATGAACTTTGTCATGTTTTAGGAAGACAAATTAAACATGGATCGTAGTTGGATAGATGCCAAACGAATGAGCGCAGAATATAGTAATGGAGTTAAGGGGTTTTTGGAATTTGCACAAAGCAATGCTAAAGATGATAGTGGGAGGTTTTATTGTCCTTGTAGGGACTGTTTGAATGAGAGGCGGCTAAGAGTAGATAAGATATACGAACATTTAATTTGTGAGGGGTTTCTCAAAAGTTATAGAGTATGGATATGGCATGGTGAAAGATTGAATATACCGATGCCGAGTACATCTCAATCGTGACATGTTGATGTTGTTGTTGATGATGATGAGGATGATATGGTTGATCGATTAGAGGACATGATTTGTGACGTGGGTAAACAGGCTTTTGAGCAATCCCAAGCATACAATAATATGTACAGTGATGCAGAGACACCTTTATATCTAGGGTGCGAGGAATTTAGTTTGTTGAAAGTAGTGTTGGAATTGGTGAACTTGAAAGCTAGATCTGGGTGGAGTGATAAGAGTTTCACAGAAATGCTTGAGTTATTCCAATTAATGCTTCCAAGAGAAAATGTATTGTCGGTTCGTTGCTATGAGGCAAAGAAAATTTTATGCCCACTGGGCATGGAGTTTAAGAAAATACACGCATGCCTAAATGACTGCGTATTGTACAGGAGAGAGCATAAAGAGGAGCAAAAGTATCCTGTATGTGAAACATCAAGGTATAAAGAAAACAAAGCTCCTGCGAAGGTATTATGGTATCTTCCAATCATTCCAAGGTTTAAACGATTGTTTGCTAATGAAAAGGATGCAAAGAATCTAAGATGGCATGCGAATGACAGGATTTCAGATGGAAAGCTTCGACATCCAGCCGATTCAGAACAATGGAAGAAAATTGATACTTTATTTCCTGAGTTCGGCCGTGATCCAAGGAACCTTAAGCTTGGACTTAGTACAGATGGCATGAATTCTTACAGCAGCCTTAACAGTATATATAGTTCATGGCCTGTTTTGTTGGTGATTTACAACTTATCTCCCATGTTATGTATGCAACGTAAGTATATCATGTTGTCTATGTTTATTTCAGGACCGAAACAACCGGGAAATGACATTGATGTTTACCTAAGACCCTTGGTCAAAGACTTAAAAAAGCTGTGGGAAGTAGGTATGGATGTGTTCGACACGAATCGAAAGGAGGTATTCAAGTTGCATGTGATGATCTTTTGCACCATAAATGACTTCCTTGCATATGGAAATTTGTCAGGTTATAGTATTAAGGGGCATAAAGCGTGTCCGATTTGTGAAGCGGGCACATGCTATCATCAACTTCATCATGGAAAGAAGACAGTCTATCTTGGCCATAGGAGGTTTCTTGAAAAGGACCACCATTATCGTAGAATGGGGAAAGCTTTCTATGGTGGTCAAGAGCATGGAACTGCCCCAAAGCCATTGACAGGGGAGCAAGTTTATGAATTGGTAAAAGATATCAATGTTACATTTGGCAAGACTATAAAGAATAGTGAAAAAAGTATATGGAAAAAAAAGATCTATCTTCTTTGACCTTCTATATTGGCACTATCTTAATGTGAGGCATTGTATTGATCTCATGCATGTGGAGAAGAACGTGTGTGATAGTATTATTGGAACGCTTCTTGATATACCAGGCAAGTCTAAGGGACGGTGTGAAGGCAAGATTGGATTTGGTAGACATGAAAATTAAAGAAGACTTACATCCAAGGCTGGTTGGTAAGAGGACTTACTATCCTCCGGCTAAACATACTTTGTGCAAGGATGAGAAAAGAAGCCTGTGTCAGTGCTTACACGACATGAAAGTTCCCTCAGGGTATTCTTCAAATTTTAAAAAGCTCGTGTCGATAAAAGATTTAAAATTAGTAGGTCTCAAGTCTCATGATTGTCATGTTTTAATACAACAACTATTACCAATGGCTATTTGAGGCTTCTGGAAAGATGAATTGAGAGATGTCATAATTAGGATTTGCTTTTTCTTCAATGCTATATGCCGTAAAGTCCATGAGCCTAAAGAATTGGATGAATTAGAAAATGAAGCATATCTTATCTTATGCCAACTTGAAAAGCTCTTTCTTCCATCATTTTTTGACATTATGATACATCTAATTGTTCACCTAGTGAGGGAGATAAAGTTGTGTGGCCCTGTGCATTTACGATGGATGTATCCAATTGAAAGAACAATGAAAGTTCTAAAAGGATATGTGAAGAGTCCACACCGTCCTGAAGCATCTATTGTACAAAAATATGTCTCTAAAGAAGCAACAAAATTTTACCAAGATTATTTAAACAATGTACGACCTATTGGGTTAAGACAATATGATGTCAAAGATCGTAGACGTGGCATTTCTGTGAAGACCGTTGATCCTCATGAATTGCAACAAGCACACTTACATATATTGAATAATGTTGATCAAGTTCAAGACTATATAGATGTGCACAAAGAACTTGTGAGGAAGCAAAATAGTCGAATTAGGATAACTGAGCAAAGATTAATTAGAGAGCATAACAATACTTTTGCAAAGTGGTTTAAGCAGAAGGTTGAAAAGAAAGATTGTGTTTATGATATTTTTAAGGGGCTGGCACAAGGTCCTGAGTGTGATGTTATATGCTGGACTGCATTTGATATTAATGGGTATTTGTTCTACACGAAGTCTCTAGACAATAGGAGTAATGTGCAGAATATGGTATTACACTAGTGGCCTCAGGCATGCACTTCTCCAGCTCGAAAGACCAAAATCCTTTATTCGCATCCATGCCTTATTACAGGGTTATTAAAGAGATTTGAAAGGTTGACTATATTAAATTTAAAATTCCTATTTTCAAATACAAGTGGGTTGATGTTAAAAATGGTTTTTCTCAAGATAGGATGGGATTTACATTAGTAAACTTAAATACTTTAAGTTTTGGCGATGAACCTTTTATTATGGATATTAATACATGTCTATCCTTATATATATATATACATATATATATATATGTATGTATGTATGTATATATGTAAATCAAATACATATATTACAAAATAAAATAGTACAAAAAGAAAGAAAATAAAAAGTTTAACATCTAACCAAATTTGAGATAAGGAATCTAGTTGGGAAAAGAAAGTAGAAGACCAAAAGGAAAAGAAAGAGAGTAATTCATAGAGATCTTCATTGACAATATTAGGCTTCAAAGTTGAAAGTGAAAGATTGAAATGCTTCTTGTGATTGCATATAATTGCTAGCAATCCATATATGACTATCTATATCATTGACATAAACAAAGGATCCCATCTCGTTCTTGGGTTGCACTATAAACAACAATTGCTCACACTTTTTTTTATTGCTCATATCTAATAGGGAAAATGACAATTAAGGACCCCCTAAAGACATTAATTCCAATTAAGGACCATAAAATTTTAAAATCTCAATTAAAGACTGTTGGGATAAAAAAAATATAGTTTGTCTTAAATGTCCTTGCCAAACAAAATGAAAATGCGTGCGCATAGCCTAGCCATTCTTGCTCTGTTTTACGACATCTCCTTTCTTCTTTCTTATTCTCCTTCATTCTTGTTCTATGTCGTTCCTCAGCATTTCCTTGCTAGCTCCAACCCTAATGGAGATTGTTTGGATCCATAAATGTGGTAGGATTTGTAGGTTTTGAAGAGTTCCTCCACTTTTACTATTAAGAAAATAGTTAGATTGAAATCATTAATAGAGTCCTAAAAGTACTCTTGAACCTGTGAACATGAACAAAATAGATATGCATATTTATGTATGTTTGTGCATTCAAGAATTTCACAAGTTTTGAGATTTCCAATTAAGAAACAGAATCACTAGCAATGCCTTTGATATGTGTGCTTGTCCAAGTACTTGTGTATAGTTAGTTACATCATGAACACTATAGAACTATCAAATCATCCAGGTGACGATTGCAAAAATATCACTTTGACCTGACATGAACTAGTATATTTCTACAATCCAATGACTATTTCTTGCATATTAACAAAGCATCAAAGCAAAACCTGGCCTTGACTAGTAATTTCATGAGACAATGATGCAAATTAATATTAATAATTTAAGTGAAAATCATTATAAGTTTTACAAAAACTGTACTGTATTGATAAATTGTAAAAGGAAATTTTAGATTTGATGTAAGGTAAATTCAATAGTTTTATTATATGTATTCATTAGTGATGTTAAATATATTCAATAGTAGTTTTTTATCCATATTCTTTTTGTGTGCAGGACAATGGCTAAGACAAAAGCAAGTTCATTACCGTAAAAAAGTTGTTTTGGCCTCACAAGTGATGACATCTATTTCAAATGTTAGGTATGTAGGACCTAAAAGATTGAAATCATAGATTAGAAAACTATGATATGGACTTGCACAAATTATGTTTTGGTTATATGTATGATGTAAATTATAACTTTATATACTTAAGTGTTTTTTATGGCTCAATGTATATGATACAATAGTTAATCCAAAGTATTTTTGGCTAAATGTACAAGAAATTGGACAAGCCATTGATGAATTTTCTTAACTGACGTTACTGAATTCCTACATCACGTTAGTGAATTCTTAAGTGGCGTTAGTGAATCCTAAGTCATATTAGTGGATCCTAACTTGGACAAGTCACTTTTTGTTAAACAGTCAATTTCTAAGTAAGGTTTCATTATTTTCACAATATATGTTAGCAATTTTCCAAGTCTGCACTAGTACAAAATATCAAATTTATACCCCCATATCTGCACTAGTTATTGCGCCTATGGTGTAGAAATCAGAGACGGTGGCAATTTTGTAAATAAATTTTTTTTCCACTAATATCTACACTGGATATACCTCTAAACTGATATAGATACAAACATCTACATCGGTTCTAATTATACCCGGTGTAGTTACATTAATATCTACACCGGTTCTTTATTAAACCGGTGTAGATATATTTATTTTTTAAAAAATAAATTTCTGAATCCATATCTACACCGGATTGCTCTGTTAACCGGTGTAGATATATTTAATATTTATTTACTAATTTTTTTTCTTTTTTTTATTAACTTATCTACACCGGTTTCAAAAAGAAACCAGTGTAGATGTCTTTATTTTTTTAAAAAAATAAATTCTGAATTCATATCTACACCAGTTTGCCCTGTTAACCGGTATAGATATTGCATTCTCCGTCTCTTCTAAACAGCACTTTCATTTGGAAATTTCATTTTTCAAAATTTTCGTCACTCGCGCCGAGAGAATTCATCGTCTTCTAACCCTTCTCGTTCAGGTTTTGTTTCCAAATCTCTATTACTCTAATCTTCCTCCCACTTATCTCATTCCTTCGCTCTTCATCCATCGGCCTGTGCTGTCATTTTGCATCGTCGGTGGCTGTAGGTTGACTGTAGTTGGTGGAGATCGTTCCCTGTGCCAAATTCTTTGAATCCCCTTTCCCTTCTCTACTAAAATCTCTTCTACTGTTGAAACACTAGGGCCGAGATGTCCTTCGTCACTGGTGACTAGTTTGGTGTGCGTGGATAAAGCTTCATCCTTCCCTGTTCATGGCTTGATCGTGAAATCCTCCCTCCTTTTTGTGTTGTTGTATTTCTAAGGTCAGCAGCTTTAATTTGATCCTTTCTTTATTGTTGTGGATTGAGATTAATTATTTGTTGGGTGCTTGCGTTATGTCTAAAATCTTGCTTATGTTGTGTTTGAAATTTTTCCCTTCTTTTCTCTGCTAATCCGTGTATATCTTGGGGTAATGTATTGATTATTTGTTCCAATCATCTGGGGGCTTGGCCAAATTGCTATTTTTAATTTGTATTTTCATTAGAACTGAACGAGGTATTTTTACTTGATTTTAAATTTAAAGGAATTGGGTTGTGCGTATATAAATTTTATCAGGGTAGTTTATTTCCTGTGAATTAAATTGCTGTGGTGACATCATTATTAATTTATTTTCTATATGCTGGTGGAGTGCTGATAGAGGCCTAAGGCCATTAGGCATTGCATGTGACTTTATTTTATTTAAATGATATTATTTTTTCCTTATATTTTTAATTGTAAATTTATTAGAAAGTCCAACTTTAGGGGAGACTCTGCCAAATATTTTTTAAAATTATTGTTTTGTCCCTCCTTCTTTATAGAAAGGCCAAAAATATATAGTTGACTTCTTTTTGTCCCTACTTATTAGATAGGAAGGAAGTCAATTCTAAAAAATATTCTCAAAAGATTGAAAATTTCCAAATTAAATTGGAAATTATTGTGTTAGCATGCTTCTTTCTTTTTTTTTTTAATATATAACTCTTTGTCTGGCCTTATCAAAATGGATTCAGTAATAATCCATGAACTTTGTCATGTTTTAGGAAGACAAATTAAACATGGATCGTAGTTGGATAGATGCCAAACGAATGAGCGCAGAATATAGTAATGGGGTTAAGGGGTTTTTGGAATTTGCACAAAGCAATGCTGAAGATGATAGTGGGAGGTTTTATTGTCCTTGTAGGGACTGTTTGAATGAGAGGCGGCTAAGTGTAGATAAGATATACGAACATTTAATTTGTGAGGGGTTTCTCAAAAGTTATAGAGTATGGATATGGCATGGTGAAAGATTGAATATACCGATGCCGAGTACATCTCAATCGTGACATGTTGATGTTGTTGTTGATGATGATGAGGATGATATGGTTGATCGATTAGAGGACATGATTTGTGACGTGGGTAAACAGGCTTTTGAGCAATCCCAAGCATACAATAATATGTACAGTGATGCAGAGACACCTTTATATCTAGGGTGCGAGGAATTTAGTTTGTTGAAAGTAGTGTTGGAATTGGTGAACTTGAAAGCTAGATCTGGGTGGAGTGATAAGAGTTTCACAGAAATGCTTGAGTTATTCCAATTAATGCTTCCAAGAGAAAATGTATTGTCGGTTCGTTACTATGAGGCAAAGAAAATTTTATGCCCACTGGGCATGGAGTTTAAGAAAATACACGCATGCCTAAATGACTGCATATTGTACAGGAGAGAGCATAAAGAGGAGCAAAAGTATCCTGTATGTGAAACACCAAGGTATAAAGAAAACAAAGCTCCTGCGAAGGTATTATGGTATCTTCTAATCATTCTAAGGTTTAAACGATTGTTTGCTAATGAAAAGGATGCAAAGAATCTAAGATGGCATGCGAATGACAGGATTTCAGATGGAAAGCTTCGACATCCAGCCGATTCAGAACAATGGAAGAAAATTGATACTTTGTTTCCTGAGTTCGGCCGTGATCCAAGGAACCTTAAGCTTGGACTTAGTACAGATGGCATGAATTCTTACAGCAGCCTTAACAGTATACATAGTTCATGGCCTGTTTTGTTGGTGATTTACAACTTATCTCCCATGTTATGCATGCAACGCAAGTATATCATGTTGTCTATGTTTATTTCAAGACCGAAACAACCGGGAAATGACATTGATGTTTACCTAAGACCCTTGGTCAAAGACTTAAAAAAGCTGTGGGAAGTAGGTATGGATGTGTTCGACGAATCGAAAGGAGGTATTCAAGTTGCATGTAATGATCTTTTGCACCATAAATGACTTCCCTGCATATGGAAATTTGTCAGGTTATAGTATTAAGGGGCATAAAGCGTGTCCGATTTGTGAAGCGGGCACATGCTATCATCAACTTCATCATGGAAAGAAGACAGTCTATCTTGGCCATAGAGGTTTCTTGAAAAGGACCACCATTATCGTAGAATGGGGAAAGCTTTCTATGGTGGTCAAGAGCATGGAACTGCCCCAAAGCCATTGACAGGGGAGCAAGTTTATGAATTGGTAAAAGATATCAATGTTACATTTGGCAAGACTATAAAGAATAGTGAAAAAAGTATATGGAAAAAAAAGATCTATCTTCTTTGACCTTCTATATTGGCACTATCTTAATGTGAGACATTGTATTGATCTCATGCATGTGGAGAAGAACGTGTGTGATAGTATTATTGGAACGCTTCTTGATATACCAGGCAAGTCTAAGGGACGGTGTGAAGGCAAGATTGGATTTGGTAGACATGAAAATTAAAGAAGACTTACATCCAAGGCCGGTTGGTAAGAGGACTTACTATCCTCTGCTAAACATACTTTGTGCAAGGATGAGAAAAGAAGCCTATGTCAGTGCTTACACGACATGAAAGTTCCCTCAGGGTATTCTTCAAATTTTAAAAAGCTCGTGTCGATAAAAGATTTAAAATTAGTAGGTCTCAAGTCTCATGATTGTCATGTTTTAATACAACAACTATTACCAATGGCTATTTGAGGCTTCTGGAAAGATGAATTGAGAGATGTCATAATTAGGATTTGCTTTTTCTTCAATGCTATATGCCGTAAAGTCCATGAGCCTAAAGAATTGGATGAATTAGAAAATGAAGCATATCTTATCTTATGCCAACTTGAAAAGCTCTTTCTTCTATCATTTTTTGACATTATGATACATCTAATTGTTCACCTAGTGAGGGAGATAAAGTTGTGTGGCCCTGTGCATTTACGATAGATGTATCCAATTGAAAGAACAATGAAAGTTCTAAAAGGATATGTGAAGAGTCCACACTGTCCTGAAGCATCTATTGTACAAAAATATGTCTCTGAAGAAGCAGTAGAATTTTGCCAAGATTATTTAAACAATGTACGACCTATTGGGTTAAGACAATATGATGTCAAAGATCGTAGACGTGGCATTTCTGTGAAGACCGCTGATCCTCATGAATTGCAACAAGCACACTTACATATATTGAATAATGTTGATCAAGTTCAAGACTATATAGATGTGCACAAAGAACTTGTGAGGAAGCAAAATAGTCGAATTAGGATAACTAAGCAAAGATTAATTAGAGAGCATAACAATACTTTTGCAAAGTGGTTTAAGCAGAAGGTTGAAAAGAAAGATTGTGTTTATGATATTTTTAAGGGGCTGGCACAAGGTCCTGAGTGTGATGTTATATGCTGGACTGCATTTGATATTAATGGGTATTTGTTCTACACGAAGTCTCTAGACAATAGGAGTAATGTGCAGAACATGGTATTACACTAGTGGCCTCAGGCATGCACTTCTCCAGCTCGAAAGACCAAAATCCTTTATTCGCATCCATGCCTTATTACAGGGTTATTAAAGAGATTTGAAAGGTTGACTATATTAAATTTAAAATTCCTATTTTCAAATACAAGTGGGTTGATGTTAAAAATGGTTTTTCTCAAGATAGGATGGGATTTACATTAGTAAACTTAAATACTTTAAGTTTTGGCGATGAACCTTTTATTATGGCAGACCAAGCGAAACAAGTGTTTTATGTCATAGATCCGAGAAGTGAAACATGGTCAGTAGTCCTTGAAGGAAAAAGAGAGGTTAATATTGATGAGAAGGATTGTTCAAATTTCAATATTTTTGAGACTCCTTCTTTCTCGATAGGCTTGCCTGTATTGAATGTAGAAGATGAATTGGATGACGAATATGGCACGAGAGATGATCATCACGAAGGGATATGGGAAAATATTTCTATTTAAAAATATGTTAAAAGTTAGTTATTTATTTATAACATGTATGATTTATTAAATTGGTTATTTATTGTGTTTTATTCATATTAGAACATGTTTTATTTATTAGTTATATCACTGATGATTTTTACTTATTGTCTAAATAGGAACATAGAGGATCGGAGTGTTAATCAAAACCAACCTGACCCTTCTACCCCAATTGTGTCTACCAGTGGTGATGACTATGTGACTGTTAGTCCTCAAACTGCGAGTAGCAGCCAATCTACACGATCCAGGAGGCCTAGAAGTGGCACGCGATTAAGAGAGTTAGCTCTAAGTCGAAGCAGAGGCGAGAAGATTCCGATTCAGTTTTATAACATTGGAAGCCAATCGGGCCTAATGGGGCTAAGTTTACTAGTTTTTTAGGCCTCCAAGCTCATAGCAAGCCAAGTATATTGGCACCCACATGGGATGATAATCCCAGAACGAGTGAAGGAACAGATATGGGAAGCCATCAATGTATGATAAATGTTCTTTTATCACTTGTTATCATTATTTGTTACTGATTATTATGACTATATCACTAACTATTGCAATGACATGTATTGCAGGTCACATACGATGTCCCCACGAGTATAGACTTTAAGCATAGGTTGATGACCTGGGCCTGTGATCATTGGAGGGGTTTCAAGACATCACTAGCTAAGAGATTTGTGCATATTAAGGTGCCAGAAGGATAGCCATGGCCTAATCCTTGTACCCAATACACATTTCTCGATACAGCTACTTTCAAAGAATTTGTTAAGCTTCGGACTATGCTAGATGCTCTAGTGAGTTAGATTATTTTAATTTATTTTTTTGTTTATTTTAGTTATATATCATTGTCTTTATTAGATAATGAATATTTTGTAATTCTAATTCACAGGAAAAGAGGAGAAAGGCACAAGATGTTGGAAGAAAGAACAATTGCCCCCAAATAAAGTCTCGTGGCGGTTATGTGTTGGCCGACAAGGAATTGATGGATGCCAAGAGGAGGAAGAGAGAAGAACAAGCTCAATCAGATCCTTTTATTCTACTATCTCCACCATCTCCAATACGCCGCGATGAGAGATGGATTTATGCCCACAAGAAGAAAGACGGGTCCTTTTCAAGTGAGCATGCTCGTGAGGTCGCTCAGAAAATCATAAGTACAATTGTCATTTGTAATCTTATTTTAAATATCAAATATTACTAATTAATTATTATTTGTATGTTACAGGATGAGCTTAAACAGAAGCAATCCGAGGGATCATTCATCCCAGAGGGAAGAAATGATATCCTGGCTATTACTACGGGAAAAGGAGAGCATCCTGGACGTGTTCGGGGATTTGGATTAGGGGTGAGTATAAGAGATGTATTTGGACCACCTCAAAAATGCCATTCTTCAGGACTCGTGACTAGGGAGGAGTTGGATGTGATGTTAGCTCAATTAAGGGCTGAGGCTGAGGTTACTCTTGAAGCTAGGCTACAAAAGATGAAGGAAGAAATGCTGATGATGATGAGCTCAATCAAGGAGCCAAGTGGCCCACAGACTCACTTCCCTACTTGTCTTCCGAGCACTAAAGGGAGCAATATCGTTCTACTTCCTTCAGAGGATGACCCTGCTCCAGAGGGTGAAATATGCTACTTGTATATGGAGGATCTAGAAAGACGCTTAGTAGCACACGGTTACATCAACGAGGGGTCAAAATGCCACTTTCAGGAAGTTCAAGAAGATGTTGTCAAGGTCACTATTGAAGAGGTAAAAATCAATGATGCTTCTATCCCATTCCCTACTGATGAGATCAAGACAGTGAAAGATGCCAAGGGCACTTTTTGCTTATGGCCAAAAAGACTTGTTGGGAAGCCTCAAGATCTGATAACAAATTTTATTAATTAATTTTAATGACTTCTTTATATTTAAGAATGTGTTACTAATTTTTTTATTCAACAGGAAACCCCATCGTCCCATAAAGTGGGTCAAAAGCCACAATTGTTCGAGCTAAGTCTATGGGATCGATTTGTATTGATGGCATATGGTGGATCATTTCCACCTCGGTGTTTTAAAGCGAATCCTGATCTTGCTAGCTTAAGCAACTATGAAATCTTTGTTGAGAATG